TATATCTATACTGGTTTTGATTCTTTCTCTGAAGAAAGCATTTTAAATTCATAATTATGTTAGTGTTTTGTTGAAACCACAGGTTACTAAGCATATTCTGTTTTTCTATAATACGCTAAATCAACTCAAGAAATATAATGTGTCATAAACAGCAAATCTCTAAATAATTAAAGTAATTCAGAATAATGGTCACAGGGGATGCAGGATATTGATTTGCCTCTTTATATTATTTACCACCTTATTGCACTAAACTTTAGAGTCTTATTAAAGCAATTATCATCAAAATTGTGTTGCTCATATGTTAGTTACCACATATGTGTGTGTGTGTGTGTGTGTGTGTTTCTTTTCACTAATACAGTGACTGTAGCATATAGAGGCAAAAACACTTTGTTGACTGTCATTTTATTTTCCTTCTATAGAGTGGTTTTACCCCTTTGCATATAGCTGCACACTATGGAAATGTCAATGTGGCTACCCTTCTTCTAAACCGGGGAGCTGCTGTGGACTTCACAGCCAGGGTATGGATTAAAATTATTTCTCATTTTTAATAGCAGTAAATGTGTATATTTAAAGTGAAAATAACTACTGACTGTCTTAAAGGTTTTGTTTCTGTTTTCTTTACCTGGATCTGTGCTAGGGACATTACATTTTCTGTTTCTTCTTTTAAATCACAGAAAGCCATTATACCTTGAGCAGATGAAAAATAAGAATGATATAAATCTATATGAACACAAATAATTTGTGATTTCTAAGAAGTATATTAATTCAGACATCTGTATGAACAGCTATATCATTGTCAGGGACATAAAATTTATATAAAGACTGAAAAAAATGTACTATACTGGAATTTTTTATTTAGCTATGAATTAAGATATTCTTTCATCATAAAATAGTTATATGAATCAGATTTTTGAATGAGCAGCTTCAGGTTAATAAGTAATTAGACTATTAAAATGTTAAGTTCAAAATGTTTAAGTAGTAGTCTTATAATTATAGAGCACACAATTTGACATATGAAAAGTCTTAACCAAAATACATGAAAAGACATAACATTAAGTTGTATGCTCTATGGCGTGCTTTTATTGTAAAGAACACAGTATGCTATAAAATTAGGTATATATGATATGAAGCAGTTAATGTGGTATTTGAATATTTTAAGTATTTCAACATGAAGGAACAACCAACTACATATTCTTGTTATGATTATGATAGTCAATAAAAGAATATGAGTTGTATGTTTCAATGTTTCTTACACTGAAGCTATTTTGTTTTGTTTGTTTATGTATTTATTATTTTACTGAATTATTCTGAAGATGTTTTAAAGAATCACTTTTTTAAAAAAATAGGCATTGAAATGTATATGTATTCTACTTTTAAATATTTGTTGTTGTTGTTAAGTGCCTTCGAGTCGGTTCCGACCCATAGCGACCCTGTACAGGGTTTCCGAGGGTGTAAATCCTTACGGGAGTAGAAAGCCTCATCTTTCTCCCGCGGAGCAGCTGGTAGTTTCGAACCGCTGACCTAAAGGTTCGCAGCCCGATTCGTAACCACTACGCTACCAGAACTCCTTTTAAATATAACTCCTTTTAAATATAAGAGACATTAATATTCCTGAATGCTTAAAAGCATGAGTGTTATAGAAACAAAGACATTCTTAGGACTAGGGCTCTCCCCTAGCCAGGATCTGAATTCTTGTTTCTGTTACACAAAAGTGCTCCCTTTTTCTAGACAGTGATGTACGTATTGAATACTTTATTGTAGACGTTGATTTAATTATACAGTTTCATTTCCTTTTTCACTAACTCTAGCACTTTGTGGTTTGTTTGCTTTTTTGTTCCCTAAAATTCAAGACATTGAAACTTTAGAAACTTTGAATCAAGTTACCACATAGGTTATAACTTCCTTTGTGCACTTTAACAAAGTCATCTCCATTATGCCCTGTCATAACAAACACTCTCTTGTTTGATCTCTTCATATCTTAGAACGGAATCACTCCTCTGCATGTGGCTTCCAAAAGGGGAAACACAAACATGGTGAAACTCTTATTGGATCGTGGTGGTCAGATCGATGCCAAAACTAGGGTAAGTGTCTATTGTAATTTTCTAGTGTAGTTATTTCTTTGTCAAGTCCACAAACATAGGCAATATGTTTTCAAATAACTTGGTTTCTTGGATTTGACTTAAATTCCATACAATATTTAAGGGTTTCATATCACAAAGGGTAATTAATATTTGTTCATAATTACCCAAAGAAACAGAATGCTAGCCCCTCAATAAAATAGCTTTCCTGTTGCTGTCATTGTTAGGTCTGTCAAGTTGTTTCTTACCCATAGCGACCCTACGTGCAACAGAATGAAACACGGTGCGGTCCCGCACCCGCCTCACAATTGCTGCTAGGCTTGAGCCCATTGCTGCTGCCACTGTGCCAATCCATCTCATTGGGAGGTCTTCCTCTTTTTCGCTGACCCTTTGCTTATTGGTTTTCTGGGAATAAAATTCAGAAATCCAGGCTTAAACATCTCTGCTATGCGAAGTGTAAATATCAAGAAGCCAAACATATTTGCATGTATTAATCTGTAAATGTATGGCTTTTAAGAAAATTTTTGAATATATATTGAAATTCTTTGTGCTTCTTACTGTTCAATTCCTGATTCACTTTCTTATGTGGCTAAGCTATACTGATCTAAGCAGATCTGCTATTATACTTATGGAGAGAGAAAAAAAAAGACATACAGTTATCTGTATGTGCCTTTCTTCCATTTCCAAAGTGTTAGTAAAATATCATTTTCCTAAGTTTTTAATTCCCAATGATCAGATAATAAGATAGACAGTAAAGCAAAAGTTTTTTTAAAGCTTAGACTCTGAAGATGGACTGCCTGATTTTCAAATACTACCTCTACCACTTCCTAGCTGTATGATACTGACAACTTACTTGTTGTGAACTCTGGCTTATAATAGTACCTGTTTCATAAGGGTGTGTGAGGTTAGCTCAGTTCTTCTTATCTTTAATACAGAGTGGCAAATAATTTAGATACTCATAAATTTTGCTAATGTTATTGAAATTATATATCATTTCCCCCCACCCCCCCAATAAACACTTAACTAGTAGTTTGATATTAGTTCTCTGGAGTAGATTTTGTTAATCATCGATTTCAGCAAAACTTTAAACATTTGTAAAATGTAAAAGTTTTGAAATATGAGGTGCAAAAATTCTGTGAAAAATAAAAGATAAGATAAATCCCTTATAGTAGTTTATCTTTACTTTTGTTCTAGAAATTTCTGTTCTCATAGTCCCATTAAACAACAAAAAAATTTAAAAAAAAACAGACTTGTCATCAAGTTGATTCCAACTCATAGTGACACTGTAGGCCAGACAAGAACTGTACATAAAGTCTTCAAAGCTGTCCTTATGGAAGCAGGCTGTCCTATTTTCTCCCACAGAACAGCTGATGGGTTTGGACCACAGACCATTCAGTTAGAAATGAGCATTTAGGAACGTCTCCATTACTCCAGGAAAGAAGGAACAAGTCTGGTGGTGGTTGTATGCCATGGAGTCGGTTCAAACTCTTAGTGACCCTGTACAGGGTTTCTTAGGCTGTGAATCTTTATGGGAGCAGAAAGCTTCATCTTTCTTCCTTGATGCAGCTGATTGTTTCGAACTGCTGACCTTAAGGATCACAGCCCGATTCGTAACCACAATGCTACCAGCAATGTTGAGACTCATAAATGTTTTTGTTTAATAAACTTTATCATTTTAATATTGAAGTTGTCACAGACTTCATTTTGCTCAGATCGGCTATCAACACTCATGGAAGCAGCAGTCAAGCAATCAAATGATGTATTGCATTAGGCAAATCTGCTGCATACGATCTCTTTAAAATGTTCATGAGCAAAGATATGAGTTTGAGGACTAAAGGGTGCCTGCCCCAAGCAATGATATTTTTAAGAGCTTCATATATGTGTGAAAGTTGGACAATAATAAGAAAGACCATAGAAGAATTGATGTATTTGAGTTAATGTATTGGGGTAGAATATTAAAAGTACCATGTGTTGCCAAAAGAACAAACAAATCTGTGTTTGCTCTTTTGGAAAAGGTACAACCAGTATGCTCCTTAGAAGCCAAGATGGCCAGACTTTGTCTTTCATTGTTTACTGTTGTTAATGGCCATTGAGTCAGTTTTGACTCATAGCGATCCTGTGTAGGGTTTCTGAGGAGCTTGGCTGGTGAGTTTGTCTCTCATACTTCAGCCATATCATCAGCTGGGATCAGTTCCTGCAGAAGGACATCATGGTTGGTAAAGTGGAGGGTCAATGAAAACGAGAATGATCCCCAACAAGATGGATTTGCACAGTGGCAGCAGCAATGGACTCAAGCATAGTAACGATTATGAGACTGGCGCAGGACTGGGCAGTGTTTCCTTCTGGTGCATGCATAAGGCCGCTGTGAGTTGGTACTGACTCAATAGCACCTAATAAAAACAGTAACAATAATTTTTGAGCTTCTTATAGATTCTTAAATCCTGTACCAGTCCTAGATTATAAATTGTGATTTTTATGAACCTCAGGATATGTGCTTTTTTAGTCTTGTTACTCCAAGTCGTTTGGTCCAGTGTTGTTGTTAAGTGCCATCGAGTTGGTTCTGACCCATAGCGACCTGTATAGGGTTTCCAAGGAGCCACTGGTGAGCTTGAACTGCCAACATTCTGGTTTAAATGACTTTGCAGTCCAGCACTTTAACTCACAGCGCCACACCAGGACTCCAGTGTAGCCATGTCATATTATGAGTGAGTTAGCAGTGATTGCTTTACTTTGCCAGCCAGGATCTTTTTGCTGTGGTATTCACCTTCTTTGCCTAAAAGTTCTATATGTTCCTAACCCTTTGCTTTGTTGGCATGCAGAATTTGGAACAATTGTGAAGAATACTGCATGCTCTGCTAACTTGGACTTTATGTTAAAAAAGAAGGGTTTCTGTACTTCCTCCTTTAAGTTCATTACTAACAATATGTCCCTTTTACACTTACTCTTCCCTTTCTATTGAGACTGCCAAATAATTGTGAGTAGTAATTCAGTCTGTATGAGGAGCGAATAATCTGAGAAGCTGTTCTACGTGAAGAATTTCTAATCTGTACATTGTCCATTTATTCATTAAAACAAACATTCATGCTTTAAAAAAATATATTATTATGGCATCTGAGTTAGAGGAAGCTTTGCTGATAATTTGCAATATACAGATGGCATAACTTCCCTTGCTTAAAGTAAAGAAGACTTGAAGCACTCATTGATAAAGGTCAGAGACTACAGATTTCAGTATGAATTACAACTCAACATAAAGTAAACAAAATCCTTACAAATGAACCTATAAGCACCATTATGATAAACAAGATAGTACTGAAGTTGTCAAGTATTTCACTATACTTGGTTCTACAATTAATACCCATGAAGCAGTAGTCAAGAAATCAAACATTTGCTTTGGACAAATCTGCTGACAATGACTTCTTTAAATGGTTAACATGCAGAAATGTCATCTTGAGGACTAAAGTGTGCCTAGCGCAAGCCACAATATTTTCAATTACTTTATTTTACTTTATATGAAAGACTTTATATGAAAGACTGATGCCTTTGAATTATGGTGTTAGTGAAGAATAATGAATATACTATGGACTGTCAGGAAAATAAACAAATCTGTGTTGGAAGAATGAGTCCCTAGAAGTGAAGGTAGTGAAACTTCATCTCACCTACTTTGGATATAGTTTCAGGAAAGACAAGTTCCTGGAGAAAGACATCAATTTTAGTAAAGTAGCTGTTGTTTTAAGTGTTGTCAAATTGGTTCTAACTCATAGTGACTCTGTGTAGTATATCCAAGGAGAAGCTGATGGGTTTGAACCACTGACCTTCTGGTTAACAGTCTACAGCTTATCCTATATTGCCACACAATTAAAACTGAGGAAGACCTTCAATGAAATGGATTGACAGACACAGTGACTGCAATGATGTGCCCAAATATAGTTAAGTACAGGGTAGTGTTTCATTCTTTTGTACATCAAATCCTATGAGACTCATTGTACATCAAACAAACAAATCCATGTTGGAAGAAGCACAACCAGAATGCTCTTTAGAAACCAAGATGGCCAGACTTCGTCTCTCATACTTTGGACATATTATCAGGAGGAACCAGTCCCTGCAGAAGGATATCATGGTTGGTTAAGTGGCACATCAGCAAAGAAAAAGGAGACCCCCTGATGAGATGAATTGGCATAGTGGCAGCAACAATGGGTTCAAGTATAGCAGCAATTGTGAGCATGCTTCAATTGTGAGCACTATGAGACAGAACCATTTTGATAGCATCCAACAACAAAAACGATCAACGGAAAGGCAGAATTTTGAAAATGCAAAATGATTTTAATCTTTGTTCTGTGTATTATAGATGCATGCTTCTCTAATTAATATTTCTTGAGTTGTTGTTGTTAGGTGCTGTTGAGTTTGTTCCCACCATAACAACCCTATGTACAACATAACGAAGCACCTTCTGGTCCTGCACCATGCTCACAATTGCTGCTATACTTAAGCCCATTGTTGCTGCCACTATGCCAATTCATCTCATCAGGGGTCTCCCTTTTCTTTGCTGATGCACCACTTAGCCAACCATGATATCCTTCTCCAGGGACTGATTCCTCCTGATAATATGTCCAAAGTATGATAGATGAAGTCTGGCCATCTTGGTTTCTAAGGAGCATTTTGGTTGTGCTTCTTCCAACATGGATTTGTTTGTGCTTCTGGCAGTCCATGGTACCTTTATTATTCTTCCTCAACACCATAACTGAAATGCATCAATCCTTATTAATTTTCCAACCTTTACAAGCATATGAGGCTATTGAAAATACCATGGCTTGGGTTGGCTGCACTTTAGTCCTCAAACTGACATCTTTGGTCTTGAACACTTTAAAGAGGACTTTTGCAGCAGTTGATTTTGTTCATATATATCTATCTTCATAATTTTTTTTTGTTGTTGTTGTTCCTTAAAAGGTGCTCTAATTTGCCTGGCCCATGTACATTTGCATATATAGTCAAAACATATGACTCCA